GGGGGAGTAACCCAACCAACCAAAAAAAAAAAAAAAAAAAGAAGACGTTTGGGGCTAATTGGCTAAACCTCAATTTTCAATGCCTATGTTATATTTATCTTTACAAAAAAAAGGGGGCTAAGCCCCCCCCCCCCTTCCCCCGATTCCGACGGTTTTGTGACCACTTCATGTACGCAGCTTATTTAAATCAGAGAAATTAAGTCATCCAAATTTGAACTACTTGTAATACTCACTCAAGCAAAATTGACATAGCTTCGTCAATATAATATAAAATATTGAATCGTTTTCGATTTCGTTGAGAATTATTAATGTCGATATGGTTCCACTTAGGCTTTCATGTCGATATTTTGACAGTTCTTGTCTGTTAACGTACGTTTGTCATCCTAAGTTTGAACAACAATTTTACTGTATCGAAAAAAAAAAAATTATAATCATAACTGAAATTTATCTCTCTTTTTAAGCGTACCACTTGTATCGAAAGGTCAAATTAGGAAAACGGAAAAAAAACTTAATAAATAAGTCGTAATAATGAGATAAAAAGTCGTTATCACGACTAACGAAAGTCGTAATTACGAGAAAAAAAGTAGTTATTATGACTTAATTAAGTCGTTATAACGAGATACACGTACAAAGCCGTATTTACGACGTAAGAAAGTCGTAATAACGAGACAACAAGAGGCCCATGGCCCTTGAAGGTCACCTGAGTATCATGGAACAACTTTCAACTAAGTAAAGCCAAAATATTTTAAGAAAGAAATATACACTTGTATCTCAGAAATCATGAAATACATGGGTGACTTGCTTAACTTTCATGTAAGAATTCTGTACCATTATCATGTCATCAGTGAATGTATTTCAGATTTTTTCACAGAATATTATTGAAGATATAAATCATGTGACATTTAGTCACATAATCATTATACTCTCACATTCGATGTGCTCTTTGCTATGCAATGTATAATGCATTTGCAGGAAGAAGATGCGGGACCCTAAGTAAAAGTGACTTTGTGTTAGTTAAAAGTACTAAACAACTTTTGTTACAGTTGTAAACCTTTAAGTGCCCCAATAGAAATTTCATAATTTTTTAGAGCGATAAATTGTGCAGTTCATGGTTTTGTTTAGCTCATACATGTGATTTTACACAAGGTATGCATCCTTTTGAAAATAAACTCTGATGTGTGAGCAGTGATATGCTGCAAATTAATCCTCTTCTTTCTTACAGTCCTTTAAACATACTGTAATAAAAATTGAGACATACACAAAAAGCCGTATCAGATTTATTGTGTTTTATATTCTCTCAGGATAATGATTTACATGTAGTCAATGGAATTCTTTTTCATAACATCAGGTTTGGAAAGAGTCATGATTAAACATCTTAATATCTAAAATTGTGCAATAACTTAAATAAAAATATGACACAATACTCAACATAAAAAAGCAAATCAAGGGGAGAAAACCAAAGTCGCATACTGCAAAGAGGACCATTCCCTTATAAAAGAGTACATTGATCCAGATAAAATTTACTGCTTGCTTAACTTCCATTATGCACACACTAATGTATATACACACTCAAAAGCATGTTACTACATGTATATACATGTACATGTAAATATTACAATGGATCAATTATTGACTTTAATATGTTCATAATAATGATTTTAATAAAAAAAATTAAATAATTAAGTCGTAGTTATTGACTATAGTACTGCATTTATTTATAAAGCCTGGTGAACAATTCATTGATATTTAACTTTGTTCAATTTTCAAACAATATGAAAGTGCTTTATTGGTCAACTGTCTGAAATTTTACCACCAATCATACTACGTAGGAAGCAATCTTCACTTTATTTCTATATCATCTGAAAGAAGCAAGGTTTACCCCCCTTTACGGGCTGGCCATTGACCCCCTCTTTCTATGCTACTTACCTTTAAAAAGTGAATGCTTCATATTTGGTGATTTCATACAATTACAACATAAAATAGATATTGTGAAATCATGGTAGCAATGAAACATTTTTTTTTTAATTAGAGTTAGCAATATTATAGAAAGTTTTGAGTCTGTACCTGAATTGTCCACCTAGCATAAATTGTATACATACATTTTAATATTTGCAGACGTTGTTAAAATTGAACCATAAAGTTATCCTAAACTTTTCACAATATGATCAAAAATGTATTGAACAGATAAATGCAACATGGCAAGAACAGAAATATATTTAGTACATGGTTTAAATCATTTGCTTTAATTGTAGTTTAAAACAATGGAAGGGAAAAAAAAATAAAATTTAAAAAAAAAAAGTAAGAAAAGATTTCATAAAGCAGTGAATTTATATTAATTAAATATACTTTTAAATTCATAGTATATGTGATTACAATTTAATTCAAATATTTGCATAATGAATACTGATTTATAGCTAATTGAAATATTTCAAAGAAATGGAAAATTTTCCTATATTCAGTCATTATTGTGAACGAACTTCTTCACATAACAAAAGCGAAAAGAAAGATTAAAGTTGTTTACAAGGGCCTGAAATCATTTATCAACACTTTTATTAAATAATACAAATTTTTGATTTAAGAAATAAATCTTAAGGTCATAGGATGCCTGAAATCCAGAGATATGGGGTTTTATCATAGTTTCTTGAATTGTGTTGGTTCTAGATTCCAATTATTCATTAAATGGTAAGTGAGGGTAAACTTAAATTTCTTAGGGGGATATTTTGTTCATATTTTTTTTGCACTGAATTTCAATATACATATATTCAGCTATTAAAAGTATAGATTTGGGGATAATGCAAAAAGAGAAAGGATGGATTGATAGGAAAACTTCATAATAAATATGTGTTTTAAACAAGTCTATACAAACTTTTCATAAATTTGTATATATATATATATATATATATATATATATATTTCTTTTAAGTATCCACATCCTACGTCCTTTAAATGTCCTATTTTACAAAATCAAATATAATATTGTATCTATTCCAATATATGCCTTCCGCAGATGAAAATTAAACAAAAATAAGTACAATTAATTAACATAGATCTACCTGCCTCTTTATAATCAAATATACATTGGAAAAGGGATATAAATGTACATTTAAAAAGGTTTAATAGAACTTGAAAATGATAAATTTGGTAATGATTTGGTGATAAAATTTTCTATATACACATAATTTAATTAGTTACAAGAGCTGGTCTAGGACTTAAACTCTTGATCAACAGTACACTGTACGCCTAAAGTAGATAGTTTCATCCACAAGATTTGAGCATAGATGCTTGATGGTAGTACTTATATATACAAATGTCATAGTTAGAAAATTCTAAATTGTCTTAGTGTACGTAACTCAACAACATATCAGTATCACCAAAAACATAATGAAAAATAAATAAATAAGAAATGAATTCTAAATCTATATGATTAATATATGTACAACAGAATGCATGCAGATAACATTTTCACATGTAACATGGCAGAAAGTCTTTTCAGAAATGAAATGTTAATAAAATTTAACAGTTTCACACGTAACACTGTAGATCATAAGTCTTTTCAGAAATGGAGTGTTGATTTAACAGTTTCACATATTCAATGGGAGCCAGTCTTTTCAGATTTGGAATTTTGATTTAACAGTTTCGCATGTAACATGGGAACCAGTCTTTTCCGGAATGGAATGTTGATTTAACAGTTTCGCATGTAACACGGCCGGGAGAGAGTCTTTTCAGAAATAGAATTTTGATTCAACAGTTTCACATGTAACACGGGAGATAACTAGTCTTTTCAGAAATGGAATGTTGATTTGAAACAGTTTCACATGTAATACAGGAGCCAGTATTTTTTATAAACCAAATGTTGATAAAACAGTATCACATTAACACAGCTTGGAGTTAGTCTTTGACATAACAGGGATAACTGTTCTGTATACAATGTCTTGGCAGATCTGATACACCATTGTGACACTTGGTTGTATGATAACTACATTAATTATGTGTATATAATAAATTAACACAAAAATTCTTTCATTCTAATTCTTAAATTCAATATATATGTATCAGCATAAATTAATCTACTAAAGAAATCAATGTTAATTTAAATGCCCATGAGATGAAATATTAATTTTATAATTGTATAATACATGTACATGGATTACCAAAACAGATAGTACTTTACAAACACAAAAACATGAAATGGAAAAAAAAAAAAGTAAATTTAACTCATCATTGGAATAGAAGTATTAAAATGCTACTTGAGTGTATATTTCATCCACACTTAACAGATCAAGTCATGTAGGCACATCACAAAAAAAAGTATGTTATAAAAAATATCTTTTAATATTTGATCCAATCAAATCTTGCAGATATACACCAGTACTTGATTCTTTTTAAATACTAACATAATATTCCAATTTTAAAAAAGAACATTATAACATTCCATTTATACATGGCTTAAATGTTTAATTCAATAATTACAAAAATTTGCAAAGAAATTTACATATTGTGTAATTACACAAAAATTTACATATTCTGTTATAAGAAAACAATGTTGTAATGGAGCTTGAATCGTGATTAAACAATATACTATATAAAAGACAGGCAGCATGTACGTTTTTTGCCGTTTGTTGAAAGGTTGCAAACTTAACATACATGAACTAAATAATTTCATCTCATGGGCATTATAATTTTAAAACACAATTTTGTCCCAATAACTTCCCAATAAGGAAATTTATGTGAATTTTAAAATCATATACATGTACATGTACTTAAACATACAGGGGAGTTATTGGGACAAATAAGGTAGATGATGAGTGGCAACCCTTGTTTTTGCCTAACCACTCTTGGCAGTTTGTAAATATTTAGCTTCCACTGGAAACTAAATATTTACATACTGCCTGTGTTGTGCTCTAGAGGGTTTTTATATAATACTGGACAAGACAATTATTATACACTTCTATCATTAGCTAGCTTAAGTAATATTTGCAGCACAATAAATTATATTATGGTCAGACCAATAAGCCTGGAGAACATCTGTTTGTATATCAGTAAAGTTGGTAAATATTAGGTCTAACCGTGTCTTGTTTTTTGTGGTTATCTTGTTTATAACTTGCTCACAACCAAAGTTTTCTCTCATAAAGTTTAGGAAATGCTGATACTGACCAGTATTCAAATCCAAATTACAATCTCCCATAATCACAATTTTTTTATCTTTGTCAACAAACGGAAGCAATCTGTTCTTCAACGTATCGTAAAAAAGTTGAAGAGTACAAGAAGGTTGCTTATATAAAACTACACACTGTATTGGAGTATTGGACGCCATAATGGAAATTATGGAAAATTCAACGGATTTGGTAGTAAAAGAGTTGTATGCCACACACTGTAATTGATTCCTCAGATATATGACAATGCCATGATGTGATCTGGTCTGGGAAGAATTTGCATCATTTCTGAACATTGTAAAACCCTCCAAAGTAAAGTATTCATCAGAATCTAATTCACAAAGCCAAGATTCAGCTATACCAATAACATCTGCAGCTAAAACACTTGGTTCTGATTTCATATCAAGGTAGTGTTTGTGTAGAGATCTTGCATTGTTGAACAAAAATTTAATATCTTTACATACAGAGTAAAGTGGTGTGTATGAGAGCTGCAATCTATTTTCTCTCAATCTTTCCATCTCTTTATCAACATTTTCATCTTTAGAAAGACTTTTTTCATTGAAATCCAGAATGAATAGTCCATCAAGTGACCTTACTCTAGAGAGTGCAACATAATGTATATGAGGAATTTTGCGCTGCTTTGTCTGTGCTAAGCTGATGACTGCACTTGAAAGAGTTGCTCCTTGTGCTTTATGGATTGTCTTTCCAGCAGCTGGTTGGAGTGGAAACTGAATTCTCTCATAGGTCTTCCTGTTATACACAAATGTTCTTTTTGCTTCAAATATGGGAGTCCATGTAGTATTAACATTTGTGCTAAACAAATGGCTGTATTGATGTCTTCTTGAAATACCAATGTTCGAGTCAGCAAACAGAACCCATACTATAGCTGGTCTTAATAGCGATTGTTGATATTCAATGTATTTCACAACACATGAAGCACCATTTGTCAATCCATCTGTAACATCAAGATTTACGGATATGTCATAGAGCATATCTACAGCAATAACCAAGTTAGTTCTTAATTGTCCAGTAGATGCTGGGTTTTCAGGCAAGTTTTGAACTAGTTTTAATTTCACTGATGCAGAGAGTTTTGTCTGTGATAAAACGTCTGTGTCTGCTCTTACATTTACTTTATTTGTTGAAAGGTTTTCTATTAGATTGTTATTAAAACAATCAACAAACTTGTTCTCAATAAACAGATGAGGTGCCTCCTTAGGATAGACTTGCATGTCTTGCCTGATGATGTGTTGATAAATGAGTTCTTTATCTTCATCTGTCATCTTGTTTTCACGGAGTCTATTCAACATTTCTGCAAATCTGAGGTCATCCTTTTGTCTCATAATTTCAGTTAGTTCATGCATATGAAAATGTTCATGCCATAAATTTTTTGCTAAACTCTGACCAGGATTAGAAAGGTCTTTGAAAATCCATTTGTCTCCAACAGGTGGTAACTGATACAAATCACCAACAGCTATGATGCTAATACCACCAAAATCTTGTTTTCTACCAGTAAGTTGCTGAAGTCTGTCATTTATAAATGTCAGCATATTATTTCCTACCATTGAAATTTCATCAATTATCACAACTGACAAATTACGGTACTTTGTCCTAAATGAGTTCAATTCATCTGCACTCATGTGTTGCTGGGTTTGATACATTTTCCTGTGAAATGCTGATGCAATAGTAGTCCCTTTGATGTTATATGCAGCTTTTCCAGTGTGAGCACAAAGTAATATTCTAATATCATCTGGGTTTTCACCTTCTTTTGAGTAGAGTATTCTGTGTAATGTTTGAAAAATTGCATCAATAACCACTGATTTTCATGCACCTGCTCCACCAGTTAGAAAAGCATATAATGGTTCATCTCTGATTTGAATCCAGTTTGTTACATGATTGTAAAATTCTCTCTGCTTAGTATTCAGGGATTGCAAAAGTTTATAATACTGCTCATCAGGAATGCGGACAGCACTCATTTCTGTTTCAGATACTTTTGAAGACAAGCCAAGTTCTGGACCAATATCAAAATCTCTGTGTTGAACTGTATCAGGATCATAATGAACAAATTCCTCAGATGGTTCAGAACTTATCTCTGCATCCTCTGCCTCAGCATGTTCTGTATTTGGTGCTACTGTCTCCATATTATCAAGATCTTCTTCAGCTTGAAGTCGAGCTTGTTCTAATTCATCCACAAAATGCTCATACTGCTTTTGCTTAACTTGTATTATACATGCTTTTTGCCTGTAGTGCTGTTCATAAGTTTGATGACTACCAAGTAGGTCAGCATTCTCATTTCTCCAAGGCAGAAAGAGAAGAATTCTTTCTCTGTAATACTGTTCAGAATTTGTTTTTTGGCTGCACCCTACATATCTAATAACTCGTTTGTTTTTTCGTCTTCTGATCTTAATCCCATTTTTCAAATGAACTAAAACATCCTGATCAGTAAAAAAAGTTTCTTCAGAAATATCTTCTGGGTTATCATCATTCACTTCCTCTTGTAAATCTTTTCTGATTTCTTTGGGGAAAGTTACTTCCAATTCGGAAACAACATCAGCTAAACACCAATTTTCTAGCTGTTTTGGTCTTCTTGCATACCTTTGTATCATACTGTCTGCTTTAATATCAGTTGAATCCTTGGGTAACTCATTCAATTCATCTTGATGTTTGAGTAAGAAAACTCTGTCTTCAGGTGGTGAAGTATTTATAAAAACAACCTCTCTAGTAGCTTGTGTAAGTGGCATCTGAAGGATCAAGTAACTTGCCTCTTGTGCACTGACCTCAACAAAGTTTAAGAACTTGTTTCCAATATGTCGAACTTGACGCTTAAGATCCATATTTCCCTCTGCAGCTTCTTGAGATGCCTTATCAAGCATTGCACTGATTCCTCTCTGAGATTTGCTGATATAAGCAACAATGTATGTGGCACATGCATAAGGATCAAGTACAAACTGAATATCTAAGTTAGCATTCCAGGCCTTTAACACTGATGAATTATAGTAATTCACTCTCATCTCAGATGGACTTCTCTTCAGAAATATTTTGGGACCTTTCAAGGAAGCTCGAATACATTTTATATACTCATCCTCACACATTTCTACAATAGTCTCTAAGAAGGACTCATAGTCTAAACTGCAACCATCTTTGTAATCATTCATTTTCTTCTGAATATCAGAATATATCTTTCTATAATGCTCAACATCAACATCCAATGGTTCAAGAAGCATGGTTTTGGGCAAAGGTGGCAATGGAAATCCAAATCTGCATACAGATCTACCGCCTTTTTTGCAAGTCTTTGAGTGTTTATGTACTTGAAGCTCTACAAGCTGCTCCATTTGAGGATTATTTTCCTGCAAACTACATGTGACATACTTATCTACATAAGCTTCAATTTCCTCATTACTATTTTCTTTGTGCTTTGGAGCATCACTTGTCCATACCAGCATATGAATATGTGGTGAACCTCTGTTTTGGAATTCTACTCTTCGAAACACATCAGTGACAACACCTTAAGGATTTTGAGGACTTTTAAGAACATTATTGATGAAGAGTTGAACTGTGTTGTCAAAGAATCTTGCACATGTTACTGGATCTTGTTTAACTAGTTTTGATTTTTCATTCCAATTCAAGGCCTCTAGTTCTTCTTGTGACAGGGTTTTTCCATCTAGTGTTGCCAATGTTTTAAGCAGATCTTGCCATCTGGTATCGGCTGATGACAGAGAAATAAACCAGGTTGGGAGACCTAACTGTCTTATCATGGCAAATACATCCTTCTTTTTAGATGAAAGATATGCAGGAGAATTTCGAAGTGTTCTGAATATATAATACCCTTCATTTAATCTTACAATTTTTTCTGCATTTGCTGGATTTAAAACTTGTTCTGCAGTGATTTTCTTGCCCTTTGATTTACATCTTCTAAGTGCCAAGTTAACTTTATCACTAACCTGTTTAATTTGAATTTTCTTCAATTTAAAAAAGATGTTAGGTACAGATTGTGCTGCTCGTCTATCAACACTGCGCAACTCCCATTTTGCGATATCACTGTAGTGTACTGGAACTTCTCTTTCCTCACTTTCAATTCTGCGGTGACCACAAAATATTGTTGGAAAACAGAGATATTCTGCATCTTTATCTGTAAATAAACTTATTGCTTTTTGGTTTTCTCCTGGGGCAAACACATAGAGTTAATTTGTATCAATATCTTCTTCATCAACAAGTGTATCAGAATTGCCTTGAATACAATCATTTGAAGAAACTTCACAAAAATCATCATCATTTCCTTCAGATTCACGATCATCGCTTTCATTTGAACTACCTATCAGTTCTTGTACTGTTTCTTCTTTACTTTTTTCGATTTCATCTCTCCAAGAATGGTCTATCACTAAACCAGAATCTTTATACAACTCACTATTTTTCATAAGCCACTGTAAAGCACTCATCACCATATTTGGACGAACATTTTCTGTGAAGCATGCCGATTTGTGAGATAATCTTTTCTTTAATTTTACAGCTATAGTCACATGCTCATCTATTTGTCGTGGAAGGGCATTTACAGTTGGCTGAATATCAACTGGGACATTTACAACATTTCCTTTGACAGACATTTGACCTCCTCTAGGTAATTCTCTTATTTGCATGAATGGTATGCGTTGAGATATCAACCTCTCTTCCAGTGGGTGTAATTTCAAAGCATCTGGTTGGTCAGGCCATTTCATTCCATTTCTAACAGAAAGTTTTGGAATTTTCTCATCCTTCAGAGCTGAACAGCAGGTTATACATAACCATTCTATACCATCCACAGATCTTAATCCAGTACAAATACTTTTACTACTAGCACTAAGATTAGTTGTATCTAGCTTCACAACACTTTTCCAAAACCAAGTTTGATGACAACATGTACACACATAAATTGGACCAATTTTCACTTCTTCATGAAATTTCTCTATACAATCTTCCAACGAATTACCATGACACCTTTTCTTTAATAATTTGTTTTCATGGTCTGTAAATTCTGCATCAAGCCTCCTTTTAGCTTTAGAAACTCTTTCACTCTCTCTTTCTTTTTCTCTATAATTTCTTCTACTTTGTTGTTTACAAAGCCGTTCTTTCTCCAGCTGCTGTACATTGTCTCTTTTCTTTTTCTTTGCTTCTCTTTCTTTTAAACAAAATCCTGTATTTAGCCTTGCCTTGTTCATACTTTTTAATGTACGTTCTCTTTCCTTGAGCTTTGTTTCAGGATTTTCTCTGACACTTTTTTTGGAAGTAAGTTCTTTCTCTTTAAATTCTTTACTTTGTCTTGCCTTGTTCATACTTTTTAATGTACGTTCTCTTTCCTTGAGCTTTGTTTCAGGATTTTCTCTGACACTTTTTTTGGAAGTAAGTTCTTTCTCTTTAAATTCTTTACTTTGTCTTGCCTTGTTCATACTTTTTAATGTACGTTCTCTTTCCTTGAGCTTTGTTTCAGGATTTTCTCTGACACTTTTTTTGGAAGCAAGTTCTTTCTCTTTAAACTCTTTATTTTTTCTTGCCTTGTTCATGCTTTTTAATGTACGTTCTCTTTCCTTGAGCTTTGTTTCAGGATTTTCTCTGACACTTTTTCCTGAAGTGAGTTCTTTCCCTTTAAATTCTTTACTTTTTCTTGCTTTGGTCATACTTCTTAAGGTACTTTCTTTGTCTTTCTGTTTTATCTGTGAGTTTTCCCTCCTTTTTTGCATGTAGTTTCTCATATATTCATTTCGATTTCCTTGTGATGATTCAGAAATAGTACATAATCTAGACATGTTCTTTTGGAACTCAAAGTACTTGTCAATTAAGGAAAGTCTCTCACAAATGGACACATTTGTTTTTCGTTTTACAGACACTGGTTGAATCTCAAACTACTTATCATTGATATATTACAACTTTGATAAAATGCAAACATGTAGTCCACAAGTTGATCAATATCCCCAAAAGTGATTTTTACAGCCTTGCCATCTGCACATGAAAGACCATCTTTTCCATGGGAATGTGAATCAAAAAATACAGGACACCTCTTGTCATCCACATATATTCCAGAACAAATTCCTCCAACTATAATTAATCCTTGATTGTATCTTGTACATAGCAGCTCAATACCTTCCTTCAAATTATTATTTTGACATGACTGATCCCAATCTATATGAGTCACTGTTCCATAGATCTGTTCAAAATAGCTTATTTCATACTGGTTGTCATGCACATAAACAGACTTGGGAAGTTCTTGGAATTGTAGCATTTTTGAAACAAATTGAACACTTGATTGTAATTCTGCAATTCTGAGTCTAAATAAATCATCCCCAGCAAAGAGCACCTCATCAAGTTCTGATGTAGTGGATGCATTTTGCAAAATGATAGACATCAAAGCATTACATGTGCACTGAACTCCTCGAGAAAAAGTTGGAAATAAATTATTTGCTTGATTAATTGTTCCAAATAATCTAGTGCCCGAAGGCAAACTGGCAATGTTCCTGGCGCCCGAAGGCAAATTTGTAATGTTTCTGGTGCCCGAAGGCAAATTTGCAATGTTACTGGCGCCCGAAGGCAAATCTAGTACTCTTTTTAAGGAGGCAGTATCCCCCCGGTCCTTAGTACTATTTTTTACGTGGCTAGTATCCACGAGTCTCAAAGGTCTGTCAAATGTTTCGTCAATCGTTGGGTCCTTTGTACTATTTTTTACGTGGCTAGTATCCACGAGTCTATTGTCACTGCTGGCACGACTCCGGTTCCCCTTCTTGGCCAATCCAACCCGCCAGTTCTTCTTGCGTGGCATCACCAGGTTTCTGCAAAACACATACAACTACTAGTACATGTAATTCAATCAGTATTCTTTAAGTAATATTTAGTACTTACTTCTTTCAATAATACCTTTCCCTAAAATAACAGAAGAACCCTCTCTAAACTGCACACTAAAGAGTTCAGATTCTGTGGAGTTTTTCTCAAGTTAGAGTGATCTGCCATTTGATATAAATTCAAATAAATTGAAATCTACAGTATATTACTCAATTTGTAATTAATGCAAGCATTCAAAACATTTTATAATGCCAAGATAAATTAACTTAATATTTAATTTGCATATATTTTCTCCACTGGAGTAAAACAGTAGTGAATTCTGTTATTGTAAATTTCTTGTCTTTGAACATTTTTTTCTGGGAGTAAATGCCACACACCATAATACTGAAAATTAAATAGATAAGCTTATTATTTACCCCTTTATACATTACAATTTTCTCAATGTCCCAAAAAACATTTTGCACTCGGATATAGAGAGTCCTTAATATAACCCTTGGCCTAGTGTGAGACATAAGTTTAGAGCTGAAGTTTTAATACGAAAAACTAGTTAATCTTTTCTCAAGAACAGTATGACCACTATTAATCAAACCAATATGAAGCCTTGCCCTTGTTTTTATATTCAAGTTTGTATAATCTCTAGTGATAGGGTGTCAAGTAGGGAATAAAAAGTTTTACACTGGAATACAGAGGAAAGAATCTATAAAATTCTTCTTTTTAAGAATGATTGGGTAATAAGTCAAAGTAATGGCACCTATTCTAATGTTGTTAATGATTTTCTTTTCCAAGTCAAAGTCCTTATTGCTATAGTGGTTCAACTTTCTTCATAGAAACTGGTAACAAAAAATACTCGGAACAATCTCATAAAATACCCCCCCCCCCCCTTCTGCATTTCTTTTAATGTGCCATTCAAATTTTGTAAATGTGACACTGAACTTGCCAAAAGACCTTGGTTAAATGACACATTCTCTGGTCATTAGTAATTTTTTGATGAAACATGGACATGCCATGTTTCTTCATTAGAAAATTATAGATTTACACTTTTACTACCAGTGTCCTTGAACTTGCTGCAATGACCTTGGATCAGGATCAAGACATACCCTCAGGTCATAAAGAATTTTGGTAGGAAGTATGAGCTTACACTGATACTCCATAACTAAGCTGTACCCTGGAAAAGAATTTTATACTTTTTCTGGCATTGACCTTGAACTTATCAGAATGACCTTAGATCAAAGTCAAGACACACCCTCTGTTCACAAACAATCTCTATACCAAGTATGAACTTCCAATGATTCTCCATTACAAAGTTATAGCCCAGACAATAATTAATTTTAATTTTTATCTACCTGACCTTGAACTTGCTAGAATGACCTTGGGTAAACTTCATGATATACCCTCATGTCATAAAGATTTTTTGTAGAAAGTATGAGCTTCCAGAGATTGTCCCTTACAATGTTACAGACCACACAAGAATTTTATTTGTTTCTCTAGTGACCTCGAACTTACTGGAAAACACATAAGCTGTACTAAAGTTAACTGCACAAATATTAATTATCTATGAACAACTGCATTCATGTCTTTTGAACAAACGAAAAAACAACTTAAGCTAGCTGAGCTTTTGATATTCTTTATCAGTTCTTCC